GGAGCCGTTCACAGCGGTGCGCGTACCCGTTCACATCGCTGCTTTCGCCTATTCTAATCGATGTATATACCGATTCACGTTTCCTTCGTTTCGTTAAAATACCGCTAAATCGATTTCTTTTCTGCTTTTTTATCGATTACTGTTTTCTTTTCTTTGATTTTCCTAGACTTTTCCCAATTTTCCTTGGTTTCTTCGAGTCCTTTAGAATTTTCTTCGTATTTCTTGTTTTAGAAGTTGGCTATTCCGAATCGCGGCGATTGTATCTTTCTCATTAGGTGGTATTTACGCTTTCGGGTTGGCGCTTCCGCGGACATATCGTTTGCGGTTCAGTTATCACGTTGGGTTCCTTCGCTGCCTTCGTACTCATCGGTTGGCGATTCTGCGTTAATGCCGAATGACCATCTTCATTTCAGATGCTCTGTGTCACCGAACGCAGTTGGCAGTTTTGGATACCTACAGAGTTTCAGGTTGTCGCTCCTTCCCGCATGACCCATCTTGCTCTGATATAGTCTATGATTCCGTAAGGTTGGCTGTTCTGGATATATCGATCAACACGTCACGTTATGGACGCCAGCGTTTAGAAGATGCACTGTGTTTTAGTCGAAAGAAAAAAAAAGTACAGCATTTTATGTGTATTTCGTGTCGAATTCGGGTGCCGAGTGTGTTGACGAGTGTGCACGTAAGTGTGTACGAAAACGGCTTATCCAAAGACTTACGTTTTTTCGAACACGAACTTTTTACATCGTACAAAAAGAATACGTTTTGTGGTGCCGATATCGTATTAATATGTACAACGAACTTTCTTAGGCCTCTATAGGACAAACACCACGTGTTGTCGCATCGGATACAGAGAAACTCGAACGACGTTCTTCGCCTTTCTACGTTGATAGGCTAAAACGATACTTTCTTACGGAAAAAAAAAAAGTGTTCCACCGAAACGATGAAAAAATTTCTACCGTTTTAACCGTATTATTTATCCTTAACTTTAACATGGACACGTATATTTCGAAACCTGATATTCGTAAACGTTGTTGTTCTTAAGAGTGCGATCTTACGAACTTTTCTTCTCGTTTATTCGATATAAAAAAAAAAAAAAGAATTATTTCCTTCAAATATGATATTGTACTCGGACAAATGCATACTGGATACCTATCTAGTAAGCCATTTTTTATATTTGCGTTTCAGAAAAGGTTTAAAGGCGCCAAAACTGCATTCGTTTCGTACCAGAAAGCCCAGAAAATCCAGATATACAAAGCCTGGATGACAGGGCTTTACTACAACGTACTTTTTTGACCATTAGTGAACCAAAAAAAAAAAAATATAAAAAAAAAGAAAAAAAAAGTGAATAAGTGAAATTATGGACAATAATACGGACGGGGACAACTTGAATCTAAGCTGCGGAGAGAACGATATAGTAGACGAATTAAAAATCGCTGCCGATGAAACGTACGATACGCGCAGTGAAGTTTCGTCCAGTAGTTCCAATTCCGATTCTAGTCAACCCAGTATAACTTCCGTTTCCACCAAATCTTCGCGAGGAGATAATAAACGTAATCGCAAAAATAGAGGGAAACGTGCCAGATCCAGAGATTCCAAATCTTCCAGCCCGGAAACCAAACGTGCCAGATCCAAGGAAACTAAAGGAATCGCCAAAAGTTACGATTACGCTACCAAATTAAATTACTTGTTCAGGGATGCGAGGTTGCCTACTTTCCACCAATTATTTATCTATTATTAATTAATGAATTAATTGATTAATTAAGCGTTTCATTTCGATAGATTTTTTATCATCAAATCCAACAACGCCGAAAATGTCACCTTATCCAAGGCTAAAGGTGTTTGGAGCACGTTACCTCAGAACGAAGCCAATTTGAATCAAGCTTACAGAGAATCCAGAAACGTTTTGCTCGTATTTTCTGTCAAAGAATCCGGCAAATTCGCTGGTTTCGCGCGACTCGGTACAGAGTCCAGAAGAGACGGTGCACCCATTTCCTGGGTTCGTACATTCGTAAATACGACACGTGGAAATAAATATGCCTTCTTAGAAACAACCATCGATTCTAGGTTTTACCACCAGGCTTGTCCGCTAAAGCTTTGGGTGGTGTCTTTAAAGTAGATTGGATATGCAGGAAGGAATTACCCTTTACCGCAACTTTACATTTATACAATCCCTGGAACGATGGTAAACAGGTAAAGATTGGTCGCGATGGTCAGGAAATAGAACCCAAAGTTGCCGAGGAATTGTGTAGACTATTTCCGGAGGATGAAGGTATATTCCAAAAAGAAACAAAACAAAACAAACGATAATGGAACGCTACGTGTTTTAGGAATCGAAATGACTCCGATTTTGAGAAAGTCCAAGGAAGCGGCTAAACATATTATCAAATCTCGTTCTTATCGAGACAATAGACCTGTTAATACCGGTTCTAGATTCCTACGTTCACGGGGTGCCAGAGGACGTAGACTTTTTTTAACTTCGCGATCTCGATTAGCTTCTTTAGCTAGAGGATCTTACTTACCCGCCAATGAACATAGAGGATCGAGGGATCATCATCATCATCACCATCATCATCGATACGCTACCTGGTTTAATCGAAGCGACTCTCCTTATTCCAAGTACGTTTATTAAGTCCTTCAGAAATCTCCTAATCTTACGATAAGTTACTTTATTTTTTTTTTTTTTTTTTTTTTTT